GCAGACCCTCCCAGCGAGGGAGCGTCGATCGGAAATGCAGGGAACTTTTCTGAAGCCACACTTCACTCTTAACACACGTGCAAATCTAAACCCGTCTTCCTTTGCTTTTCAACTTTTGGAAAGGGGTTTATTTCTAGGCCAGCCCAGCCCAGCCCATCTTGGTGGGCCTTTTTTTTTAAATCGTGATGTACTTTTTTTGTACATGGTTTTGTCCAGAGTGCTCGCTAAAATGTTTTGGAATCTCACGCTGGCAATGTCTCTCATTCCTGTTAGGTTTATACTATCACTTAAAAAAAATTCCGTCTGTGGGATTTTTAGAGATTTTTGGACGTCAGGGTGTGTGCTCCACCTTGGCCAGGCCTCCCTGGGACCCCTGCCCTCTGTGGGGCAGAACCAGGCAAGGCTGGACGGGTCCCTCACCTCATGCGGTATTGCCATGGTGGAGCGTGGCTCCTGCATCATTTGATTAAATGGAGACTTCTGGTCTCTGTCACAGGGCCCCCCCCGCCCCCCGCCATGAGCGGAGGGTGCAGCTGGGCCCAGGACAAGCCCAGCAGCCCCCTCCTTCCCCTTATTGTTCTGTGATGTCCAGGGTGGCCTGAGGCCTGCGCCAGGCAGAACCGGGACCCTTCCTTTCCAGGCTGGGAGACAGCCAAGGATGCTTGAGCTGAATCACATGTTGACAGTTCTTCAGGCATTTCTACCACAATATTGGAATTGGACACATTGGCCAAATAAAGTTGAAATTTTCTGCCTTTTGTCGCCTCTGCCTTACAACTTCCAGGCCTGGGGATGGGGGTTGGACTTCTGACATTCTACGGTGAGGAGGTGAGCTTGGGGCTGCTCTTGTTGAGCCATCTCTTTTTTTTGGAGCATGGCAGACACCCAGAAGCATGTGCACATCCCATGGGCACCGTGCGTGGAGCTGTCAGCATGTGTGGAGCTGACACCACGTGTCACCTAGTGCATGTGGCCGGGGTAGAGGGAGGGCTGCCTCCTGGCCCTGTTCCTGTGCTGTCCAGCTGGCTCACCTGTGCTGGGGGTCTGCAGCTTTACCTGTTGTGGACACCCAATGGTCAGCATGGATTCTGCCAACGTGCCACGTCAGGACACAACAGCCAGGGGAGCGCAGGTCTGTTGTGCAAGAGTGCCCCCCAATGCCCCCCGCAACCTAGAACCACTGCAGCTTTGGAAGAGAAATCAGGGGCGTTCAGACTTCAAGGATGCTGTGCTCAGAGACTTCCCTGGTGGTCTAGTGGCTAAGACTCCAAGCTCCCAATCCAGGGGGCCTGGGTTTGATCCCTGGGGAGGGAACTAGATCCTACAAGCCACAACTAAGAGATCCTGCATGCTCCAACTAGGATCCAGCACAGCTGGAGTAAATTAAAAAAATTTTTTTAAAAAGCGCTGTTCTCATCACTAGACCTTTGTGTAAAAAAGAACCTGATGTTAAGATAGCAAATCTCTTATGTTTTTAAAATGTAATTTGACTCCTTAGAGCCTCTGCTTGTGCATAGTTCACATAAGGAAGAGTAGTTCAGTTGACCTTTCCTTCCCCCTACCCCTGCAGACTGAAAAACCAAAACTCAAAAACCATGACTCAAAAGCTGTCATCCTGGCTGCAGTGGCTGATGGCACCTGAACCTGGACTGGGGACACCTCTTGGGTTTTGGGGTTCCACGAGGGCTCTGGGACAGGAGCCAGCAGGGCTCGGGTGGGCATCAGTCCCCAGCCAGGGCACCCCTACCCAGGGCAGTTTCCTGTCTGTTCTGTGCACATGTCTGTACTCACAGTGGGACATTGATGTCATTCTCGGAGGAAACGGGTGGAGATCCAGCCCACTTTGGGAGGTCAAGAACAGCAAATGTGGCTAGGTCTCCGAGGAGCCCAGGTTGACTCCACATGCTCCATCAGCCCCTCCAACAAGCTGCCGGAGTAGGAAGTATGTGCACCTTACCCGATCTGCGGCCCCCAGCTCTGATGCTGCTGGGGCCCTGGAGATGGCTGGGGCATGTCTGGCAGACATGAGGTGAGACTTGCTATGAATGTGGTTCCCTTGGTGGTCTCAGTCTGCAGGAAGGTGTGTGTGTGTTATTTCCCCCATGACCACGGCTACGTTCCAGCCAGAGGCCTGTGTGTCTGCTCCATGCCCTCAAACCCCAGGGCTCCTCCCTTCTCCCACCTGGGCATGTGATATACAGCTGGTATTCAGCTACAACCTAGCATTAGCACCGTGGGCAGCAGCAACTAAACCCTGGCTTGTCCACACACTCTGTCACCCGAGTACTGCTCCCCAGCTCAGCCCACAGCGGGGCTCCCGTCCCTGGTTCTCAGGTGTCCTGTGCTGGGGCTGTTCCAGGGTCTGTGTGTGTTGTGCCTCAGTCCTGCTGATACGGTGAGACATGTATTCGCAAAGTAGTGAGCTCGGGCACTTGGAGGTTCTGTGGGAGATTTCCGGGGAGACAGCCCTGCCCTCCAAAATGGGAGAGGGTTCCCAGAGGTACACGTGTGGATTCCAGAAAAGCGGATCCAGGATGGGCTGATGGCAGGGCTGTCCAGAGTCCCAGCTGCGAGGGATGGGCTTTGGCCCGTGATGGATGCTGGTGACCCCGCTGACCAACTCCGCAGAGCCTGGCCCTCCGTGCAGAAAGTTTGGGAGCAGGCATTGCTGCCCAGAGCACGTCGTCATGTCATGTGCTCCTAGGAGGGGGAGTGAGTCACCGATACCTTTCCCCTTTTGCCCAGGCAGCTGATTAGCACATTCCTGGGCCTGGGATTGCTGGGAGGTGGTGGTTGGAGTCCCAGACCAGGCAGGGCTGGTGGATTAGCAAGGTAACTTTGCGGGCTCTGGGGTAGGCAGTCAGGGCTTAACAGCCTAGGGCGTCCCAATCTCTCTCTTCCTCTTTCCAGGTGGTAGGAAGCGATTGGCCTGGAACCTATAAAGCTGCTGCTAGGGCTGTGTACTGGACCCTCAAGATCTGGCTTCTGCATCTGCTGGGAGGCGGCTGAGTGGGCCTGCGCAGACTCCCCTCCAGGCCCCTGGCTTGTTTTCTACTGGAGGCAGACCTCTGCTAGTTGAGTCTCCTTGGACTTTTCAAAGTGAGCATTCTCCATTAACTGTTTCGGGTTGCTTCATTCAGTTCTCCAGAAAGCAGAATGTTCAAGTTGTGCAAACCAGGTCACTTGACAAGTTCACATGGGCAGAGGCTCAGGGACAAAGCTGTGTAAATACAGGTTTGGTGCTGGTGTGGCTGTGCGAATAGCAGGTTAGACTGCTCACGGCTGACTTCTGCCAAAAGTTGCTACAGGCTGTGTCCATGGCTTTGAGGACGTGTTTCCCAAGTTGTCACCAGAATACCTTTCAGGCATCTGTCCCTTCTCTGATCCAAATATTCAAACAGAAACCCCAGAGCCCAGATCCTGAGCTTTCTCAGCTTGCCTCTAGCAGGATGGAGTGGGAGGGTCCTTCTTGGGGTCACTAGTAGGCCCACCCTGATGGTTTGCCCTATCTGGCCAGGCTTTTGGTGGCAGTTTCTCCATCCAGAGTTCTTTCATTTGATCCTCTGAGCACGGCAGGCAGACAGAACTTTCCACAACAGCAGAAAAGGCAATCTTCACATCAAAGGAAAGTTCTCTGTGTACAGCATGGTACTCTGGGCTTCATGTAAACATGCTGATAGAAATTGTACCCGCTCATGACACAAGTGATCAAGAGCTGGGATTGCCCAGCACTACACTCTGAGCCCGAAATGCAGGAGCCCTGGGAACCACCCCTCCCTTGGGGCCCCGCAGGGCGTGGGCCGGGTGGAGTTTCCCAGGGAACGTCAGCGGCACAGAGGCAGGAAAAGAAACCCCATCAGGGCAGTGCAGTTTTCTGCAGCATTTGGCCCAGGTCTTTGCACCTGGAGTGTTGATGAATTTGTTGATTTTGTTGGAACGAGATCAACATGGTGGTGCAAGGACTTCTCGTAACCAAGTTCCTGCCCCCCACGAGACTGCTGGCCCATCTCCAGCATCCAGGTCTTTAGTGACTGCCTGGAGGATCTTGCCAGCATTAGGGGCCAAACTGCGCCCCTCAATATTTATATGCTGAAGTGTTAACTCCCAGTACTCCAGCATGTGACCTTATTTGGAAATGGACTCGCTGCAGATGTAACTGGTTAAGATGAGGTCAAACTGGAGTAGCGTGGGCCCTACTTCCTGGACACCAGTAGGCTGGTGTCCTTATTAAAAGGAGAAATTTAGACTTCCCTGGTGGTCCAGTGGTTAAGAAGCTGCCTCCCAATACAGGAGACACAGGTTCAACCCCTGCTCTGGGAAGAGTTCATACACAGAGGGGAAAATAAGCCCTGTGAGCCACAACTACCGAGCCTATGAGCTCTAGAGCCCATGCTCTGCAACGAGAAGCCTCTGCAATGAGAAGCCTGTACACCACAATGAACAGTAGTCATCCCTCACCGCAACTAGAGAAAGCCAGCGAGCAGCAACAGAGAACCAGTGAAGCCACAAATAAATACATAAATAAAACAATAATACAGGGAAACTTTTTAAAAAATAATATTTGGCTGCACCGGGTCTTCGTTGTGGCACATGATATCTTCTATTTCCTTGCAGCATGAAGGATCTTTCCTCGCGGCATGTGGGATCTAGTTCCCTGACCAGGGATGAACCCAGCCACCTGCATTGGAAGAGGGGAGTCTTAGCCACGGGACCACCGGGGAAGTTGTGCATTTTGACTCTAATCTCGGAAGTTTCCAAGCAGAAGGGCAGTGCCACTGAAGCCCACGTTTTAGGAAAACTGCCCTGAGAGTGATACAAGCCATGATAGAAAGTGACAAATGACAGGGAGATGGGTTGGGCTGGGCCTTCTTCTGTACAGCCTCTCCTGTGCTTCCTCAGGTGTGGGCCATCCCCTCGCCTTCCCAGCGGGCAGAGGTAGCTGTGCTTATCATGTATCATGCCCTTCTCCCCAAGTTCTCGGGACGGAGGGAGACCCTGGTCCTCATGACCTTGATTATCTGTCCGCCTTGCTTATGGGCCTTGCCCTTCTAGTGCCTCTCCTGCCCTCTGTCAAGCACCTTCGAGGTCCAGTTGTGGGGCAGGGAGCAGTGGCCAGGAAGGATCTGACCCCTTTGGCCAGGCACAGCGACAGGTGGGCTGAAAGATGAACCACTAAACATGATCCTGAGGGCAGGGCTGGAGCGGCTCAGTTTCAGCCCCTCGGGTGCGAGCATGACTGCGCAGCTTTATATAGCTCTGCCGGCCCTATATAAGAAGGTGCCCTGGCCAACGGGAGCAGGGAGAGCACTGTGGCGGCGGTGCTGGAGGTCACCGTCAGTCAGAAGAGCCTGCACACGGTTCAGGTCCGTGCACCTTCCTTCCTCGAGCAGGAGGGTCCCCACAGGGGTGGCCCAAACCATAGCTGCCAGGATGCCCAGCAGAACAGCCCGCTATGCCCGCTACAGCCCAAGGCAACGGCGCCGGAGGCTCCTGGCTGATCGCAGCGTGCGCTTCCCTAATGACGTCCTGTTCTTGGACCACATCCGCCAGGGCGACCTGGAGCAGGTGGGGCGCTTCATCCGGACTCGGAAAGTCTCCCTGGACACCATCTACCCCTCAGGTGAGTGCCTGCGGGGCCGGTGAGGCTCTGTGGGGTGGCAGGGGAAGGCCTGAGCCTTGAACCCTCCTGTCCTATCCAGGCCTGGCGGCCCTTCATGAAGCAGTGCTTTCTGGAAACCTTGAGTGTGTGAAGCTGCTAGTCAAATATGGGGCAGACATTCATCAGCGAGACGAGACAGGCTGGACACCCCTGCACATCGCCTGCAGCGACGGATACCCTGATATAGCCAGGTGAGAGGGTGGCCTCCAGGATGTAGTCCCCCAAAAGGTGGCCCTGCTAGTATAGCTAAAACCCCTAAGGGCTTCGGGAATCTCCTTTCTGCCCTGTTGCCTCCCAAGAGCAAACTGCAAAAGTTAGCGAAGCTTCCAAAGGGTCGGTTTCTTTCTCCTCACCTCACCTGGAAAGAGAAAAAACAGGTAGATCTCAGAACTACAGGCTGCTACCCTCAGGCAGGGATGAGCATTCTCCAGGCCACATTCCCTCCTCAACCAGGGCTGCCCTTTGCACCCCAGGTACCTCATTTCCCTGGGGGCAGACAGAGAAGCGGCGAATGACGATGGAGATCTGCCTTCAGACCTCATTGACCCGGAATTCAAAGACTTGGTGGAGCTATTCAAAGGGACTAAGATGGACTGAGCCCAGCCCTGCCCTCCCAGGGCGCTAGCCCTGCCTGGAGAAGTCAGGTGCCCATCTCCCCCGGATGCCAGGAGTGCCCCACCAGCGGGGCTATGGGCCGGCCAGACTGGCCAGGATCCCACACCTGGGTAAAACCCCTCCCCTCTCCCAACCGCGGCCTGGCTTTTACTTCGGGTGAATTTTTTTTTTTATTGCTATACTTTTTACTTTTTCAATAAACGTGATTCCCAAGCCCGTGGTGATGGCCTGATTACTGGGGACCGTCCTGTCCCAGTCTTTCGGCTCCGGCTGCTCCGGTGGTCAGCGGACAACCGCCGTCTGCTCTGGTCTGGGGATCCGGCAGTGTCGGAGCAAGGAGCTAGAGTCTCGTGGCTCCCGACCGCCGGTCCATGCCGTCCATCGATCCCGCTACTCCCAGGCCCTGTCTGTCCCAGAACCCCGACCCCACTGACCCAGGAGACTGTCCTCGACATCCCTCGTCCCCGGCTGGCACGAACTCCAAGAACCCCTCAGACCCCAGCCTCTCGGCCCCAGCCCTCAGTCTCCGCCCCTCCCCGCGCCGGCGGTCACGTGACCTGCGCCAGTGCGCGTGCGCGGCGGCGACGCGTCACTTCCGGCCGGGCCCCTGGCAGCGGCGGCGGCGGAGACCCGCCCTGGCGCGGCGGCCGCGAGGGGAGGGCCCCGGGCTGGGTTGCGGGGTTCCCGGCCCGCCGTGGCGGAGGCTAGGGAAGGGCGCAGCGAGGCGGGGCGGGGCAAGGGGCTCAGAGGGAGTAGCGGGCCGCCGTTCTCCGTCGCTGAAGCTGCCGCCTCCTCGTCGTCCGGGGAGCAGCCCTGACGATGCTTCCTGACCACGAAGCGCGGCCGGCCGGGCTCCCGTGCTTCGCCCTCCGTCGCCGTCCCGCGTGTCCCACGCTCCTGGTCTCCGAGCTGGGCGAGGCAGTGTCAGGGGAGGGAAGGGGGTAAGAGGCTGCCAGTCCTCGGGGAGCTCACCGGAACCCCGGGGGATGCCGGGGTGGGCGGGGACCGCCATGGGGAGGCCGCGAACGGAGCGACCCAGGTTTGTGAGAAACTTCGGGTAACGCGGAGGCGCACAAGTCGTGTCCCCCACCTGCCTCCTAGGAAGACTTCCCAGAGAAGATGGTCATGAGCCAGGCCCCCAGGGCCAGGGCGATGATTTTGGGCGGATGGGACATTTTGAGCAAAAGCCTTTGAGGTGTCAGGGGGAGTGTCCAGAGCTTTTAGAAAGCCGTGGTGGGAGGGAAGGGACAGGCGCCAAGTCTTGAAGGAGGAGGCTTGATTTGGGGTGAGTGGAAGGGCTGGCGAGATTTCCAAGTGAGGAAGGAGGGGAATGCATACATTGGGGTTTATTGCTTGGGAGAGAAGCTGCTGCTGTCACCAAGAAAAGAGGGAGAGGGGTGGTGCAGTGCTTAGAGTCTTCGCCTGGGGGTCTTCAAGGGTTGCCAGGCCCATTTGGCATCTAAAACAGCAGTGTCCTGCTGGTACTTGCTTGAGTGGTAGATTGCCTTCTAAAAGTCTCATTGGTAGAAACTGGGCTGTTGAGAGCCCCAGAGACAGAATATGAAGGCGAAATGGAGTCTTGAGAAAATTTGAGTACCTACCAAAAATTTTAAAGGAACACAGAGTGGCTGCAGTTGCATCATTGATTCTTAACTCCGGAATATCTATTGTCACTTCCAGACAACAGAATATCAGCTCACCCCCTGTCTTTAGACATATGGCTGTGTGTGGGGAAAGAGTTCGAGACTTGCAGTCTGGAGACTGGGCTTTGGGCTCCCTTCCCAGCATTCCTCCTCCCTGGAGGTCTCTGAAGCCCTTTTTTCCCCCATGAAAGAGCAAGGCACTACATAGATCCATCCAGGAAGAGTCCCTCCCTGTCTCTAAGCATAACCACATTGGTGCCAGGGGTCTGGAACCTGCCAGGGGCACAAGTGAAGGTAGAGGCAGTCTCTGGGGTGCTCAGGGCAGCTCAATCATCCTAGCCTAGCCCTGATTTCTGTGGCCTGGGAGGCCGAGAGGTTGGGAGTCTCTTGGGGCCCACACCCCACTCTGCTGAATGGCAGGTTGCTTCATCCGCTAAACCTCCAAAACGGGGTTTATCGGTGTTCTCCCTGGCTCAGTGCAATGGCTCCTGCACAGTTGGCCCTTGGCTGCTGCCCCTCCACAGTGTCATATGTTTGTGGGTCTCCACCATGCCTGAGGAAACTCTCTGCATTCAGTTTGCCCAAGGCTGTCCTGGCTCACACTTAGTAATCAAGAGCAGCCCTTTTACTCTCAAAAATGCCCAGTTGGATGATGCATTCCTTCTATGATTGCCCTGTCCACTGTCTTGTTGGATAAGCAGCCACAGAGATCTTGTTTGAGGTTGTGGCTTCATGTGGCTGTACTTGGGCCCTTTGAGCAGGAAGGCCTGGTGAACATTCTTGGGGGTTGTTTTAGCTCAGATGGAGACTCCACGGCCCATAGAGGGAAGAGACCTGCCCGGGGGTGACAGAGCAGCAATGGATGACCCCCAGTCACAGAGTGGTTCTAGACCCTGCTGGGTGCTGAGCATGCAGCCCACTGGCTGCTATGGGCTGGGCTGTTGTGGACAACAGTCAAGGCCTGTGGAGCACACCGGGGGACTTTCTGTGGGTCTCTGTGACTCTGGCACCAGCAGAGGTGGCTCTGTGGCTCAGACTCTGTTTGGGATGGGCTGGGGGCCCAGTAGCTGGTGACACCCACACCTGGTGAATTAGATTGCGGCCAGACTGAGGGCGTGATGGCAGTAGAAGGCCCTGGTAGTGTCTGGGTGGGGAGTGACTTGGGTGGGGAGAGGTTTTGGGAAGATCATGCTGGCATCATGTGAACCAGGGATGGAGGAGGGTAGTGCAGGGTGCTGTCCCGTCATGGATTGGAGAGTGAGCAGTGGGTGTCGGACCAGGGGTGGGTGGGAATGGGAAGAAGTAACTGGAGAGTACGTACATGTAGGGGGAGGCTTGGGATCTGTGGGCCGAGGGGAAGCTCAGCATCATCAGATCTGAGACCTCAGTAGTGTGAGCTGGGCCTCACAAGCTCCACCGAGCATGAAAAAATGGTGCTAACCTTTGTGCTGGCGATTGCCAGATACAACCTGATTTCAAAGCTATTAAAAGGGTAAAAAAGTTTCTCAGAGTTGATGGGATGTAGTATATGTAGTGAGGTTTTGAGCTCCAGTCTTCAGGAAATAATTGTCCTTGATAATCATGGTAAACGAAAGTCGGAAAGCAAACAAGAGGAGGGAGATGTTTGCAGAAGTGGATACTCCCTCCCCACTGGCCAGATGGACTGGAAACTCCAACCTCAGGGGACTCTCGTGGCCTACTGGGCCTTTTTAGGTGTCCCTGGCGCTTTTCCAGGCGTGCCATTCTCCCCAGCCTGTTGGTCGCCTGGCTTCTCTGCAGTCACCTCTGTAGAGGTCCTGCTCAGCACTTTCCCCAGACAGTAAATGTTTCCCTTTGCTTCACCACACACACCACTGTCAGCCCAGGCCTCGTGCCTCTCTTCACAACCAATTGTCAGGGACAGGCAGTCTTAGCCGATGGTCCCACTTCCTCCCCTCACTCCACTGAGGGGATTTTCATGCTAGGTCGTTCGAGATTTTGTCATGGTGGCTCAGTGGTCACCTCTCTGCCCTGGCCTTCCTTGAGTCCAGCTGCCCTTTTAGATACCTCCTCCCTGACCTTGTTTTGTCTCCCTTGTCCACGCCTTGCAGCTCGGTCCTCTCCACTGGACAGCCGTGTGTCCCAGGCTTCTGTTTTTAGCATCAGTGGTATGATTCGCCCGCCGTTGCCATGGCTCATTCTTGTAGCTGTCACCTTCCAAGGCGGAAACAGGCCCAGTGTACATGGGCCGCTTTCAGTGGCTCTCCCTCGGCAAGTGCTGTTTCTCTGGTTGCTCCTGTGCACCTCTCGGTAGCCACCAGGCCCTTTCCTTTGGGTACATCCTGGAACTGGAATGGCGTCATGGGGGATGCGTATTTGTTAGATTTTTCCCGGAAATTTCCTTTGGGGTCAGCATGGGGGGCCTACCTTCTTGGAGGAGCTTCAGGAGGTGATGAAGGTGAGCGAGTGCAGCTCACTGTCCCTCTGTCTTCAGGGGAGCAGCAGGTCCTGGCCCCGCAGGAAGCTGCTGGTACACTCAGGTGAAGCCTTGGTGTCCTTGCATCCCACAGGAGGCAGGGTATCCACGGGGACGGGGCAGGGCCAGCCCGAGGTCCTAAGGAGAAAGGCCCCTGGAGGGAGGCCAAGCTTTTGGGAGAAAATGGAGGACTTGGGGGTTCCTCATGAGTAGGAACCAGCTGGTAGGACACAGGCCATTAAAGACAGACCTGGTTGGGTGTGACCTCCCCCATCGAGAGGAGGCAGACAATGACTCCTTTATAAAAAGTCCTTTTACTCATTCTTCAAGTCCCGAGGACATGAGAGCCTGTGGGTGTCTTGCCCCTGGCCAGGGTACTTCCTGGCCTCTCTGTCCAGGGCACCAGAAACCTTGTTAACTCAAGTAACATATCCGTGTGGACAAGTGCCCAGTGACAGGTACACAGCTCCATGGCTCGTGGGGGATTCTAGCCTGTGGTCAGGAAGTGCGGCTGGTGGGGGCAGCAAGGGATGGGTTCCCACTGTGGAGACCAAATGCTCCAGGGGCCTGGGGCCCAGGCCTTGGGAATGCAGAGACCAAGGGGAGCAGGTGAGCTGCTCAGAGAACCCCAGAGCCATTGCATGTGTGTGTGTGCAGTCGGGGCAATGGGAGCTGGAAGGGGCTGGCCTCTGAGTTAGGCCTGAGACTGAACGGGGCCCTGGACCAAAGTCAGGCACCCGCAAAGGCCAGGCAGCTCTCAGGCTGTGACCGGAGGAGGCCAAACCCAGGCTGCCCTAGAAAGAAGAGGCCCTGGAGATGGACAAAGCTGGGAAGGCAGGTACCCTGAAGAAGTGGCCCCCGAAGTCTGAGAGGACAGACTGCAGGAGGGCTGAAGGGGCCTGGGCGTGAGGGGCCAGCCTGGACTGGGCGGGGGATGGCTGATCTCCAGGCGCCTCCCTTCTGTTGCTTAATTGAAGCCTCCTACCTCATTGTGCTGCCAACAGCCCCTTGAGACGTGAGTGTTCTTGAGCCTCTTCAGTGTCCCCAGGGCACCCTCAGGCCAGAGAGGGCTTTCCCTCTTTGCTCTGGTGTCTGTGGGACTGGCACCTGGACGGGAGAATCATAGGCAGTGAGATCCCTTGAGTCCAGAGAAAGGAGAAGTCACTTTGTGAGGAACAGGGCCCCTCTCCTGGGAGGGCATAGGCTTCCATGTGCCCTCCAGAAGCTGGCTTTATGCTTTGTTGTCACTACCTCAGCTTGTAGGCTGTTTTACCTGTGCAGATTTTTCCCCCAGCTGTGCTGTGCAGCATGTGTGATCTCAGTTCCCTACCAGGGATCAAACGCACGGCCTCTGCAGTGGGAGCACAGTGTCTTAACCCCTGGACCACTAGGGAAGTCCCCCTGTGCAGGTGTTTAAATGCCAAAGGAGCCAGAGAGGAAGTATCCACTGGGTCTCATCTTCCAGACTCTTCAGGAGGGTCTGTGGCTACATGCTCTGAGCATTCTGGGGCCCCCAGGCTCCAGGGGCTGGGGAGGGGAGGCTCTTGTGCTCACAGGCCGTTCCCAGGCGTCCCCCTTTCCCCAGCACCTGGGGTTGGCCTACTCTGGGGCAAGGCCAGGCCTGGGACTAGCCCTGTGCAACTAGCTTCCTCACCCTGCGATGTGTGTCCTCAGCCAGAGAGGGGACTTTGTCCAATTGGGCAGTTTGAGAGTGAGTCTAAAAATAGACCCCCATCCAGGGCTGTCTGGTTCCTGGTCTGAGAGAGCCTGTAAACAGGACACACCCCAGAGTCTCGGTCACCAGGACTGACCTGATGGCTTCCTCCAGGCTCACAGCCCTCCCCCAGCCCTCCTGTCACACCCTGGGGACCAGGAAGCCAGGCAGGCACTTTTCCCATTGGGAAGCATATCCCCATTTTACAGATAGGAAACTGAGGCTCAGTGGAAACAAGATACTAGGCCCTGTAGGCCATGAGGGCACTGGACGACTGCAGGCCTTTCCTGCGGCTCTGCGCGCTGTCAGGAGTGGTGTTCTGAGACTTGAACTGGGAATTTCAACAGGCCTTCCTGACCCTGGGGTAGATGCTCCCTGGGCCACGGTGGTCCAAGTGTGGGGTCCACTTGGAGCTCAAGCTGCTCCAACTCATGCCTGTTGGTGACCCCCTGGCTGCATTTGGCTAACGGTACTGTACCCTTAGCCAGCTGGATTGTGGCTCGACCCTGTCTCCTGGAAGACAGGGAGATCACAGCTAAAGGGAAGAGGTAAATGACCCCACGCCTTTCCCACCCCTGGACCCCTTCTGGACAGGGTGGCAGGGTGGCCTCCATCCCACCCCTTTGTCATGGGCCTTCCCTTCCAGAGGCCGAGGGGATCCGGCAGTGGAGTGCGAGGACCAGACACCCCAGCGATGACCAGGTGGGTCTTAGGTAGTGGAATGACCTCCAGGTGTGGGGGGGCCCTGCCCTGTAGCCCCTCCTCATGGGCCGGGCTCCCCCCAGTTCCCCCGTCTCCAGAGTCGTCTACAACGGCAAGAGGAACAGTAGCCCCCGCTCTCCCCCCAACAGCAGTGAGATCTTCACGCCGGCCCACGAGGAGAATGTGCGCTTCATTTACGAAGGTACATGGGGTGTCCCCAGTCAGGCACCCTGAGCCCCTTTTCCCCTGCACTCCTTTGGGGCGTGGAGACCTGTTCTGGTCCCGGGTGTGCCTGGTCGGCACTGTGGTGTTCCTGACAGGCAGCACCCCAGAAGAGGCAATGTTTGGAGTCAGTGGTGTTTGCTTGGGAAGAGGGGTGCCATGGAAGATGGTGCACCCTGGGGAACCTGGGGTGTCTTGGGAGTGGTGTGGAGGTGTGAGCACGTGTGCACAGCATTTGTGCTGGGAGGTGGGGGCCAGGACGTGGGAAAGATGGGGCGCCCACCTGGAGGAAGTGCTGTACTCTAGTGGGTCTCATATGCCTCTGTGACTGCAGCTCTGGTCATGGTACCATGAGGCCGAAAGGGGCATGGCTTGGGCAGGGCTCCTCGAGGGAGCAGGGTGTGTTGAGGACAAGTTCAGGTTAAGAGCAGGCTGGACTCAGGGGCCAGAAACTGTTGAAGTGGGAGTTTGGGCACGTGGGGCCTGCGGGGCCACTCGGAGGGGAGGGACGGCAGGAGCTGGTGCCATCTGCTTGGACACTGATGGGGCCGGATTGCAGGCCCGGGGGTCGGGGCCCTGATCACCCCTGCTTCCTGCAGCCTGGCAGGGTGTGGAGCGGGACCTGCGCAGCCAGATGTCGGGCAGCGAGCGGGGCCTGGTGGAGGAGTACGTGGAGAAGGTCCCTAACCCCAGCCTGAAGAGTAAGTGGGGCTGCCCTGGGCATGAGGGGCCGGCTAGGAGGCAGGAAGGCCCACCCGCCTGCTGCTTCCAAGACAGCCTGGTTGGGTGGCCTCGATCCCAGGGCTTTCAGAGGCAAGGGCAGGACAAGGGACAGACCCTGCCTCTCCACACGCACCCACCACTGACCATTCTGTCCCTTGGCAGCCTTCAAGCCCATCGACCTGAGTGACCTGAAGCGCCGGAACACGCAGGACGCCAAGAAGTCCTAAGGCGCACCAGTGCCCCTCCCCTGGCCTCCGGGAGATCTGGGTGCAGCCTGCCACTGGCCGCCTCCTCTCCTGTGGGTTCAGCTCCTGGGAGGGGGAGGGGGCCTTGCTCTCAGTGGGCCGAAAATCCCAGGACCAGGACAGGCATGATTGATGGCCAAGGCCTGCCCCTCCTCCCCGAGCCTCTCCTTTCCTCTCGGGGGATCTCAGGTTACCCCCGTCCCTAGGAGGGCCTCGGCCCTGCCAGCCCGTGCCCCCGAGGCCTGGCTGGACCTTTGGAGCTGCTGGTCCTGCCTGCCCCCCAGGGCCCTGACCCTGATTCTTACCACCTTCTCCTGCCCCCACCTCCCAACCCCTGGCCACTTCCAGGATCAGGAGGGAGATGAGGAGCCCTTTGTTGTCTCCTGTGCTGTAGAACTGGGCTGGTTTTGTCCTGAAGTGGCCAGGAGCCAGGACAGGGTGGTCCCACCCACACCCAGCTTGGGTCCCTCACCGACCCATGTTGCATCTGTGGCCTGGGCACCAGGAGCGTCTGACCCCCCCCCGCCCCCCACCTCATTGTCCAGCCTGGCCCCTTCCTTCCCTGTCAGCTTCAGGATGACACCAGCTCTCCGGGCCTGGCACACTGCTGGGTGCCCCCTCCACGGGTTCTAGGCAGCCAGGTCTTGCCCGCCTTTGGGAAGGGGCGTGGGGCTGACCTGAGCTGGCAAGGCTACCCAGTGGGTCCTGCTCTGTGTGGTGAGTTGGGAGGGTCTTCAGGGCCATTTTTTCTTTCTGTGCCCTCCAGATCCAAGTGTCTGACTGGAAACCTGAGGACCAGTAAATAAAGGTGGGGTGACATTGGCTTGGCAACTTGGTCTGTGAGCCCCCTGTTTTTCTCAGCTACCCACACGGGGCTGGGAGTCTAAGATTCAGAAGTTCCGTCTGATCCCTGGGCTCCACCAGGGGGCTTGGGCTTCAGGAGGGCAGTGGGAGGTGGAGGTGGGGGCCCTGGAGGTAAGACATCCCTTGGCAGCACTGGGCCCTTAGGGGGTGGCCTGTCTACTGTCCAGGGAGGGTGGCTGCTGAACTTGGATAGCCCCAGTGCACTTGACCTTCAGACCTGGACGTAGCCCTGGCGGACAAGCCAAAGCAGAATTTATTTCGGGAGCAGCCTTTCCTGTTAGAGTATTCTGGGGCTCCAGCGGCCCCACAGGTGGCTCTGGGAGACGTCTTCTCCTGGAGGGGGTTCCCCAGGGATGAGGGTACAGGAAGGATGGTTCACGCAGTAAGCAGCAGTCAGTGGGCGTTGGCTGGTGCCAGGCCCTGAGCCCAGTTCCTGTAACCACACAGGCCTGTTTGCTCCCCAGGGACCTATGGGGCATCCTGCCAAGGGTTTGACTGCCTGCTGGGCTGGGTCACCCACACAGCCCCCCTGTCTGTGGCTGGAAGGAGGTGGGCGTGGCCTGGCTGGCGTTCCAGGCCCTGTGGTCAGAGGCTCAGTGGGCACGCGTACCCTCCCCCCAACATGTCAGAGACCACTGAGGATGGGGTGACGGTCGGCCAGCAGAGATCCCCCGTTGGGGAAGGGGAGGGGTGGGCCTGAACCCAGCTAAGCCGCTGCTGCACGTGTGGCATTGAGCAAGCTGCTGAGTCTTGAAGCCTCAGTTTCCTGAAGGGGAGGTTAGCACCTTCCTCTGGGTGGTTGCCAAGTATTAGGGCCTGCTGCCGCTATAGTCACCTCATGGATGCTCGACAGGGCACTCGACCCGTAAGACTTCTGGAGCCTGGATGTCTGCCTTCTCGCAGCCACGGTCCTGGCCTTGCTGTGAACTCTGGGGCATGTAACACTGCTCTTCTGTCTCAGTTTCCCATTTAAAGTGAGGGTTTGGGCTGTGGTGCCTGGAAGGCCTCCCCCTGAAGGGGTGTTCAGGCCCCCTGGCAGCACACTGGAAAAACCTAATATGTTGCGTTGGTTAAAAATCGACTTGACTTTGCTCCCAGCCCTCTCTGGGTCATTCCTCCCTCCTGTGCGGTTGGAAAGTGGGAATGGTGGCACACTGGGCCCCCAGCATCTGGGTTGCCTCTGTCTACGACCACCCTCCCTGGCCTCACCTGCTAGCACTGATACTTGCCCCTGTGTGGGTGGGCCCATGGGACAACCCTCAAGGCCTTTTCATTCTTGCTGTCCCCGCCAACTTAAGATTTTCTGAGGTAGAGGCCCTAGGCCTGGAGTCTTCAGAGGTGGGAATGTGGTTAACAGACTGTGCTGGGGTTGCAGGGGAGTGGTGTTGAGGAACTTGGGGGTAGTGGTGATAGAATCCTTACCAGCATGGTGGGCTGTCTGGTCGACCCTGAGTGGCTGGAGACACCTTCCCTAGCCTCAGACAGTGAGGGCAGAGGAGATGAGGGAGTGTCCTGGTGGACGGGGTACCCACACCTCCATCACATTCTACCCTTGGTGGTGCCATACACGTTTCTGTTTGCTTTTATTCTGTGCTGGCGACTTGGTGGGGGACGGGGTTATTACCATGACACCTCAAGGAGGGGGCGATTTTATTGCCCACATCTTCCATATGAGGGAATGGTGACCTGCTGTAGGAGACTGGCCATATCTGATTTTTAAGCTTGTTTATAAAAATCTGCATTTAGCACGTACTTGCTGAGTATGTACTCTGAGCATGTTCATGTGTATTGAGCATAAACAACAATTCCCCAGTGTCACATAATACCCAGTCCATAGTCCCCGACTGTCAACAATAATGTATTCCTCACGGGTTATACACTCAGAAAGGCCAAGTGCATCAGCTGCATCAGCTTGATGTGTCCCTAGTACTGCCTCCTACATTTTCCCTCCATTTATGATTGAAGACTCCCTGGATACCTGATGTTGGAGTTTCCCAAATTCTGGTTTTGGCTGGTGGCATCATTGTAGTGTTAACAGGCGCCTCTGTTCCCTGCATTTTTGTAAACTGAGATGAGATATGATGCGTGATGGAATTCATTGGAGCAGACTTTGGGTGTAGACGGATCACTCTGGCTGCTGTGTTGAAAACAGGCCATAAGACTCAGGGTAGAAGTGGGGAGATGTTAGAAGGGCTACCTCTGGTGAATCGTGGAAGGAAGAAGCTGGGTGAGGGGGTAACATGCCCATGCTTAACGTGGGCAGTGGAATTCGAGATGCCATTGGATGTCTTAAGTAGAGGTGCCAAGTGGGAAGGTGAGTCTAGTGTGGATCTGGAGGGGTCACTGGGGTAGGAGATAAAGGTTGGGAGTAATTTTAATGTTGATGAGGAAGGGAGGAGGGTGGGACCTGATACACGGTCCCTGTGTTCAGGGGAAGGAGGAGGAAGCAGGACGGGCCTGCAAGTAGTGGAGAGCAAGGTAAGAGGAAGGGCAGGCAGGGGAGGACCCGGGACTGAAGGCTGCCACGGTGTCCAGGAGGAGGCCCAGACTGCCAGTTTGGCCAGGTGCAGCCCTCAGACTTCTCTCTCACTTAGAGGCAACCACTTTCAACTTTCCTGCTGATTCTTTTGTGTTTCTATTTTTAAATAGCATACATGAATGGTTACTTCTTACCCTTTCCTTCTTACCCCCAGCCCAATTTATTTGCATGTGTACTCTAGTCATGTCCTACTCTGCAACCCATGGACTGTAGCCCCGTCCTCTGTCCATGGCATCCTCCAGGCAGGAATACTGGAGTGGGTTGCCATTTCCTTCTCCAGGGGATCTTCCCAACTCCAGGGATCAAGCCCACTTCTCTTACTTTTCTTGCATTAGCAGGAGGATTGTTTACCACTGGCACTACACACACGTGTTTTTACCATCTACTGTCCTCCCTAGTTTTTTTTTCTCTCATAACTTTGGTTACATCAGTGTTGAGTATTTAAATTATGATGTCTGTATGTTCAGAGCTGAGCCATGTGGTAAATTGTGATTTTTTTTCTTTTCTGCTCAACTTTCTGTTCTTTAAGTTATTATTGCCTCCTTTTTTCATTTTCTTAGTTTTCTATGTTCTAACACTAAAGACCTGAACTCTCCACCAGGTTATCTAAATCTTTTCTCAGTGTGTTCAGTCACTTTGATCCCCCTGAGGGTGTCTCTCCTGTAAACTTGCCCTGCTTAAGGCTGCCTCCCCCAGTGACCCACTCTGCCCGTCACTCTCCTAGGTGTGATCCTTGTTTATTATAGTCCCTCTGAGTGCTCCACACACACAAACACACATAAACAGACACACACTCTGGGTAGTTTCCATGCTTTGGGGGGAAGGGCATGAGATGAAGGGCTGGGGTGGAGGTGGGAAGGGAAGCAGAGATGGCGAAGGGGCAGAGAGCCTGGAACGTTCATCTTCCTGAATGCAGGGTGATGCTGTGTGGGTGCTGGGCCCTGCTTTGGAACGTGGGTTCCCCCACCTGTAGCCCCTCCACCCCACCTGCAGGACAGCCTGGTCAGTCTATGTTTATTGGCTGGATGAGTCCAGCCCCTGCCCGGCCTCCACCTCCACCCTTGACTTCACCAGCCTGTTCCAGTTCCCTTGGGGACAGGGACAAGGTGGAGGAGGACAAGGGCAGAGGGAGTCAGGATGGGGAGGGCTGTCAGGAGGCCCCTGGGTGAGTGGCACACCCCCAGGGCAGTCACCAACCCTGAGCTCAGCTGGCGTGAAGGAGAACTTGTGCCCTCCCTTTGCTAGCTTGTGCCCACAAGGCTTCTGAGCATGGAGGACGGGAAGGGGTGCCCCTGTGGACAGGGGCTCAGAGGCGTGCTCGGGCCTGGGGAGCCTGGGACAAGAAGTGGTTGAAGCCTCAAGGTCAGAGGTCTCAGGTCCTCAGAGGTGCAGCCCCCACCAATCACAGTAACATCTCATCCCACCTGGGCCACAGGAGAGCCCAGTCTACTGCAGCTCACTTTCTGCCCTTCCCTCCCTGCAATATCCGGTGGCACGAGGTCAGGGTCCCCCTCAGGAGGGCCCCAGTGCCTGGGAGGTGAGTAATTCTATTTACCTTTCCTGAGAGGCCTCCTGTCCTTTCATTTGCCCCAATTAACCCAGCTTTTCCTGAGCAGCTCCAGCCCACGTGGCTGGGCGGGGACTGTGAACACCCCCTCCCCCAGGTTCCAGCAGTCACTTCCCACCAGCTCCTAGAAGCAGGGCCACCTGACTGGCCCATTTGGCTTCTGCTCTTGGCTCCCACTGCCTCTTCCTGTTTTGACAGCACCCCTGCTCCTCCCTTCTCCACACCTCCCTGCACCAGGCATCATGGCACCAGCCACAGGGGCTGCTCGTGAGGCATGACCATAGTCCTGATGCTCCTACACTTGCCTCTACCCTCTCCATCAGATGTGCTGTGCCCCAGGAGTCCACAGCTTGGACTCGGCGTGCCCACTTGGCTCTGCATGAACATCAGCCCTCACTGACTACCAAGCAGGGTGCCCACCCACCACACAACAGACAACACCCTCGTGCACAGCTGTCATGCTGGAGTAGCAAGGACTTCAGGGACTTACTGTGAACTGACTCTGCTGGGTTGTGCCATGGTCTTAGGAAAACTCTGCTGTGCCTGCAGTTGGATGGTCTCAATTTGGGGCATTCATCTCCCCCCACTTCAGTTGGCAAGGTGGACTGTGATGCTTGGGTGGAGGCAGAGACCAGTAGAGGACATCCGGTTCTGGCCTGTCCAGTGATGCCCTCACTGGGCCTGAGTCCAGCCCTGGCTATGGCTCCAGCAGGGAACCGGATGGATTCATGTGGGGTTGGTAGGACTATGATGTCAGTGGCTCCCCCCTAGGCCATCAATGCCATTCATTTCCCTCTGCAGGTGAATGGTGACCCTCCAAGGGTGGGGGGCCAAGACCGAATGGGCACTGTCCACTCTGGCTGGGGGTGGGGGTAAGCCCACCTAAACTGGGCTGGGGGCAGCACATGCTGGTGGGGCACTGCCAGCCACCACTTACTCATCCTCAAGGGTTCCAGCTCCAATTTACCGGTATGACAGGGTAGCAAGGAGAAATCTGGAGAGTGTGAGCCCACACGGGCTGTCCATGGCCACTTCCTTCTCATGGGGAAGCCCTGGGCTCAGCCGGCCCTTCTCCTCCAGCCCAGCTCTCCACCCAGGGTGTACACAGAGCTCTTTATTGTTGGAGGACACGTTTCCTTGAAAGTGGACACGCTGACCCAGGATGACAAAGGGGCACACGTTCACAGAACAGCTTTCCCACCACACTCCATCCCCCACCCATGGGCACAGAGCAGGTGCCCTCAGACCACCACACTGGGGAATGTGTGGACAGTGGGGTGCTGTCTTGCTTCCACACTCTAGCCTTTGTTGGACATCAGTTCCAGATTTCTGGTGATGGCCTCTCTGGGCCTCTGAGTCCAGCCCGAGCTGGAGTTCTGGGGGCTTCACTGGGGGTTTTCGGCCAATCCAGGAAGGCCACCAGCCAAGCGGGTCTCAGCAGAGGGGTCCTGGCTGGCCCCATTGCTGCCACTGCCCCTTGAATGCAGCAGCTTCTCACTGAGGGGGCCCCTGAGGGGCCTGGTCGTGTGGCTGCCGGCGTGGCGCTCCTCCTGCAGTGCTTTACCCTCACGCCAGCGATGCCAGCGCCGCAGCAGCTCTGACTGCACCTGGGGTGGGCAGGTGGGTCAGGCCATACCCAGGGCCTAGCCCCTGCCACCCTCCCAGAATCCCCAAGCTGCCAGCTTTGAAGGGCAGTGTGGTTCCCTGGGTATGGAGCCAGGCAGGCTCTGTCACCACAGAAAACTGGGGACATCTGGGAAGCCCTCATTCTCTAGGTGCAGGGTTGAGGATGACCCAACTTGGCAGGCCTGACACCCAGCATCCCGGCAACTGAGCCCAGTAAGTGCAGGTGGACACAAGGGGCTTGCACCCCTGAGGGGTAGGGTGAGGGTGTCTACACTCCCCCTGACACACACCCCCTCACCTACCTCCTTGTTGAGGAAACAGTAGAGAACAGCCACCAGCAGACCCTGGAGAGAGTAGGGGGGGTGGGTGGTCAGGGCTGCTCAGGGCCTGGGTTTTGGGCTGTTATGGGGTGGGAAGGCACCTGGAAGGAGCTGAGGAAGAGGTCGAAGAAGAGCTTGGCGGAGCGCAGGGTGCCCTGGGCGTGCTCATCGGTCACAAAGGCGAATACCACCTCGTGGACTCCCAGCAGGGGGATGAGGGTCAGTGTGGACTTGGCCAGCCTGCGGGGGCAGAGCCTGAGCCACCTGGCCCAGGCCCTCACCAGGGCTCTGGTGCCCCACACCCACCTATACCCCCTCTGGCCCCCGGGGGTGTCCGGGTCTGTAAGCCTTCTACCCCCCCACAACCCCACACCCACCGGAATTTGTAGTCAGTATAACGCATCTGGTGGGCTCGCAGCTTGGCCACCAGGAGGTGAAGGATACGGATGAAGATGAAGAAGTTGATCTGTGTATGTGGGGAACACAGCTCAGGGCAGCCCCTGGCCGCCCCCATCCCTCCTGGAGGTGGGCCGGGCAGCCAGCCAGGCCCTGGCTTCTGGGGCCCTAGGGCTGTGGGCACCCACTTAAGGATGAGAAGCCTGGCCCGAGGCACAGGGCACTGGCCAGTGTCCTGGCAGAGTGCCAGGCCTCCCTCCCTGTCCACCCAGGCAGGATGCCGTCTGTCTCCTTGGGCTGCTGCAGGCCGATGAAGGAAGGGAGGGGTGGGGGGCAACTCCAGCAGCCTCTCAGCCCTCCCTATGGTGCCAGAAGGTGCCCTGTTTCCTCACCAGGATGGCCAGGAAGACAGGGAAGCGCAGAATCCACCAGAAGGCCATGTTGTCATTGCTAGTCCAGCACCTACAGGGCAGGGACTGCTTGTGTCCTGGCAGCCTCCCAGCATGCCCCGCCCCGCACCACCACCCGCACCCCACAGATTCTATGGGATCTAATTAGTGCCTCAGGAAAAGAAGGGAGATAATTACCAATGACCTCCACCCTGGGGCACCAGGTTTGCTTACCACCCCCCACTGATGCTGGCTAGAGACCCCGAGCCGCTTTCACATTCTGAAGCCACATGGCCATTCCGCACGGGGCTGGGCTCACCTCCCAGCCAGGAGAGGTGAGCCCCTCTCCAGCCCGCCCTCCAGTCAGCCAGTACTTACTGGATGTTCTCAAACAGACATTTGACCACGGCCCAGGGGATGACGAACAGCATGGGGGCACCTGTGGAGGGGAGAGAACAGTTCTGGTCCCGGGGCCCTGGACTGCCTGCCCTCACCCCTGACCTCCGCACACCAGTCCACTCACCCCAGCCGATGCCCAGGTAGAGGGGGAAGCAGCTCCTCTCAGGGACGGCGGCGAGGCTCAGCAGGCTGTGCAGGTATACGCCCTCCACCAACAGCCAGCAGTAGTTGGCCACGATACCGTACTGCATGAACACCGCGGCCACCCGGCAGCCAGCCACTGCCTGGCCACGGGGGCAGTGTGAGCACAGGTCTCCCAGCTGCCTGCCACCCCGGGGCCCGGAGGCCAAGAAACCGGGTCAGGCACTCACCTCATCACTCAGCCAGACGCTCACGCTGATGTCGTCCCCGATCCTCTGGCTGTAGCGCGTCTTAAGCAGCGTGTCGATGACCAGCACGGAGCTGGCCTTGAGCATGAAGGACACGAACAGGTTCATGTGGATGTAGTTGCGGGTGCAGTGCAGCTTACTGTGGGCATGGCGAGTTAGTCCCTGCCCCCCTGCCCACCGTGGCCCCACCACCCCCACCCCCGTGTGCAGGTCAGTGGGTGTACCTGAGGCCCAACAGGGTGGCGAGGGCCAGGAACAGGGCCCCCAGGGACAGGGAGTAGCCCACCGTGTACATCACCTGGAAGCTGCTGTACATCTTGGCCACCTCCTTCTGCAAACGGCAGTGGCCAGTCGGGGCTGGAGGGGGCCGCCTCGCCCGACCCCACCCTAGCCCCAACCCCACCCTGTAGCACCCACCGCAGGCTGACCTGGACTTCAAGCTCCTCATCGTCCATCTGGCACTGGGAGGCATTTCGCCACGGCTGCCCCCGAGGCCCACGCACCCACTGCCCATCGGGCCCACACCTCTTGAAGACGAGGCGGTGCTGCACTGGGAGGGGCAGGCTCTGGTCAGCGCCCCACCCCCACGCTCGACCCCCTCGGCCAACCCCCCACATCCCTCCTGAGGTTACCTTTGTGGTACCAGGGCAGGTACCAGGGGCAGGAGATGTTGGCCGTGGTGTTGGGAGGGGTGTCCGGCCAGCAGGAATATTTGTCAAAGGTTCTGTTACAGACCAGCTCTGCAGAGGCGGGGCCAGGGTTGCTCCTCAGCAGGGCCCGGCCCCCATGACCCCTGCTGCATGCTCTCTGCTCCCTGCAGTGCATGCTGACCATCCTGCCTGCTCCGGACGCCTCTGTCCAGCCCAGTTCTGAGCTCCAGCTCTGCCTGGCCACCTCCCCTCAGATACCCCAGCTCTCACTCCGGGGGTCTCCCCTCTTCCTAGTGCCCCTCTGGCAGCACTTCTGTCCCTGGAGGCTGAACTCCAATTCTGTTGCCATCCTTCTGGTCCCAACACCAGCCCCGTTCCTTGCCCAGACAATGGCTTGGCTTCCCAGGCAGCTCCTCCTGCCCTAGTCTCTTTCTCTCTCTCTGCACCTGAGTGATCTTCAGAACTTGTCCAGAACACTGGGGCCCAGTCTGCCTGAGCACTCCAAATAATGGCCCGTCCGTCACCAGGCCTGATGCCCTCTGCTTGCCCCTCCCGGTTCACTACCCCCCCACACATTGCCTTGAGCTTCATGGGAGCGAAGACTGTGTCCAGGCCTCAGGTGTGGAGGCCTGGTGCCTGGCAGCAGAGGAAGGTGGTAAAGCACCCCAGTTCTGGGGCAGTTCTACCATTTCTTAGACACCCTGATCTGCAGCCCTGGGCTAGTCACTAGCTCCTCTGTGGCTCAGTTTCCTCACTTGTAAATGGGTGGGTGGGGGTTGGGGGCACAGGGCTTTCCCATGATGGGAGCACTGGACTCGGGCCGAAGGCGGGGCTCACCAGTCGGCGGGGGCAGCAGGCTCAGGTTGTGGAGACACTGGTCACCATAGAGCTTCCACTTCTCAAATAGGAAATCCATCACCTGAGCAGAGGGTGTCTGTGGCTGGCGAGGGAACAGACGGATAGACAGAGGGGACAGAGGCATCAGCACGAGGAGCAGGCAGCCTGGTGGGAGTCAGGGGCTGGGTGGGGGGCTGGCAGCACTCACCTGGCAGGCCAGCAGCAGCAGCAGGAAGAGGTGGGGGTAGCGTGGCTGGATGGGGGGCATGCCTCTGGGAAGCTGCCCCCCACATCTGGCTGGGGTTGCACAGCTGGGGCAAAGAGGTCCTCGTGGGTGCACGCTCCTCTGGGGTTGCGAGTATCAGAGCAGCAGGGTCTGTGCAGTGGGGGGCAGGCTCTGGTGTGAAGAGGCGCAGCTGGTTTCTTTCATGATCAGCAGGGTGTCCTGCTCCCCTAAAACCACCCCTCCCTCGGAGTCTCTGAATCCTACTGATGGAGTGGGAGCTGGGAGGGAAGTGATGCAAGAAGTGGTCACTCTGCCACTTGGGGGTTGGGGTCTGGCCCCGTGCCTGGGGGTTTGGCGCCATCACCCAAGGGGAGCTGCTTTCTCACGGCCTGTGGCTGTCTGTCTGGAGCCTGGGCCGGCCCCAGAGCCCCTCCCCTCCATGATAGCTAAGTGATCGCTGTCCTGCCTGGTACCAAAGATGTCAGGGGGGGAAGCAGCCTCCCTAACTGCCCACCTCCTCCTTCGGCCCTCACTATCCTTCCCACTATTCTTAGCCCCTGGGAAAGTCAGCTTGGCAGGCCGGGGTAGGATGCTGGGACCATCCATCATCACTTAGTCCCCAGGGATGCAGTTATTGAGGTGGCCCTGGGCCAGCTTCCAGCCTTGCCAGGAGCCAGGAGTGCCAGGCATATACTTAAGGTGGTCCCTGGCACAGGCATGCTCCCATGCCCAGGACTGGGGTGTCTAGGGTCTTCCTTGGGCCCCGCCTAAGACTCAAGCTGGGCTTCCTGGGTTCCCTGGGCCACAGCATGCAGGCAGCTGCAGTGTGTTCCTTTGAGACGAGCACTGCTGGGCTGCCGGGGGCTCAGACACAGGACCGCTGCCTTCGTGGTTCCTGCAGTGGCGGGGCCCGAGTTGCCTGGTCCTGGCCAGAGCCGTGCTTGAGGCATCAGCAGCCCCATCAGGCATCGTGTCGCTGCTTCCAGAGTCCGTCTTCTGCTCTACTGAATTCCACGAGGGCACAGGGAGGGGCTGCCTCACACGAGCACCTCTAGGGCTGTGGACGGGCCGCTCCCACCAGGTACCCTGCCATAGAGTGAGCACGTGGTGGACTGATGGATGGACAGATGGACAAAACTGGTTGGCTGGAAGGCAGAGCCTGGGAGAAGCCAGGGAGGAGGTGGGGAGGAGGGGCGCAACCTACCACTGAAGGTGGAGGGTTCCCAGACAACCCTGGATCTCAGTCTCCTCCCATCGGAGTCCAGATGGGCCCTCAGGGGGCCAGCTCACGAGGACTTTCCTGTGATTCACTCCTCACCCTTCATGGGACGCCATGGGATGAGTCCACAGGGCCTGCCGGCCTGCCGTGGGGCTCCTCACCCTTGCCCTTGGGCCAGGGTGTGGGTCAGGCCTGGTGAGGCAGGGCCCTGGAGTCACTGGTCTGCGGGCCCTGGTCTAGGTGAGGGGCCAAGGTTTAGGGCTGCTCTGGAGGAGCTGGACCGGAGAGCTCTCGGAGGGAGTAGCCCCCCAGGCGGGTGGAGGACGAGGGGCAGTTCAGGTGTTTCTAGCCCAAGGGGCCTTATCTCCTGATTCTTATCAAACAGCCTGCTGCCCTGCCCTTGCCCACCCAGGCCACAGAGCCTGCTGTGTGAGGAGCACCGTGCCCTGCAGCTGGAGAAAGGGAGACCGGTGGGCCGGCTCAGGGAGGCAGAGGCAGCCTGGATAACTAGAGGCTGGAGGGATGGGGGAGGCAGAGTGACAAAGGATGGCTGGGGCGGAGCGGAAGGTGCACAGCAATCAGGGGACCTGAGGAGAAAAGATACTGCCGGATAAGCTGTCCCTGCCCAGAGGCCCTGCAGCCAGTGGTGAGGGGAGGGCGAAGTGGCAGGGCTCCTCCAGTGAGGAGCTCCAAAGCAAAATGTCGGCCCCCTCAGAGCCCAGCTAGGGGTGGGGGGGAGGGCGTGGCCTAGCTGTGCCTTGACTTTCCCACCTGAAAAGTGCAAGTTGACCTTGCTAACTTCCTAGGGCTGTTAGGAGAACTCAAGGGGGGCAGGGCAACAGCTGGGCCAGTCTGCCTTCCAGGTAGGAGTCAGTCAGTCTGGGAACCGCAGAGAGGAGCAGAGCCTCAGGGTAGAGGGGGAGGAACGATGGGCTGCCCTCGGGCCCCAGCCAGGGCAGGGGAGGGGGCAATCCTCCATACCCTTTACTCTGGTCTGGCACATGGGGCTGGGAATCCTTGAAGATTCACGCCACACAGTTCAGTACCTACAGATCCCAGGCTGGGTAACTGGTTCAAGGCACCCAGGGCCCCAGGGCCCTAGGGATCAGAGCATCAGCACCCCGCCACCAATTTAAGACGAGGATGACTGCTCTCACTAAGACTCTGATAGAAACACAAGAAGCGGCAGAAATGGATGAGGCCCCCCCATGCCTTTCAGGGGAGTACAGGCAAGATTTCTAGACACTTCTCTGCATGAGGGCTGAGTACGGGATGATTTTCAGCTGTGTGCAAGGCGGAGGTCCTGCGGTCCCTGCCCTGAGCACTCAGGTGTGAGGCTGACCCCACAGGAGAGGGGGACATTGCAGGGCCCAGTTCTGGTCCTGGGACCAAGGACAAATATTAATAATTTAACTTCTCAGAGCCTCAGTTTCCTACTTGCAAAATCCTTGGCTCCTCATCACCAAAGAGTAAATGAGCTTTGCCACTTAAAGAGAACAGAGTATCACGTCCAGGCCCCCTCCCTACCATGGGGGACACTGCAACCCCAGAGCAGCCTGCCAGCCCCAGGGATAAATATTTGTTGAATGAATGAGGACTGAGACCTGGATGCGGAGGTGCCCCTCCACGCCTCCCATTGGCTGTGGCATCAGGCAGGGCTGCTGTTTTCCACCTTATTACTCTCCTGGAACGGCCGGGAGCCGGTGGGGGATGGGGGACTAACAGCAAGGGACCAAGCCTTCTCCCTTCACCGACCTGGAGGCTCGTCTCCCTCTCTGGCCCTGGACTGCACCCGCCCAGCACAGGTAGCTCAGGATTAGACACTGATGGGGTGGGACGGAGGGCCAGCTTTCTCCCAGCCCCAGCTCACCCCCTCCTCTGTTTTCCAGCCTCCCCCACTCCACGGGCGGGGCCCTGGGGGCATGTGTTCTGTCCCCTGCCTGGCAGAACGCACCACTCCTAGGGGCTCAAAGCTCAGCCATTTCCCCAGTTTCCCTTGGGGATGTCCCAGACTCCCAGACCGGGAACTGGGGAAAAGACCCCCCCAGGATGGTTGGATCTTCACGAGGTGGGTGCTGGTCACCCCAGCTTCGGAATGGGGCCTGCCAGCTTCTGATGAGAATGGGCTTGGTGGGTGTTTGTGAAACCAGAGCAAGTGACAGAAGGTCATGGCCCCAGGGCGAGATCAGATCACCAGGCCACAGGTTGTTGACAAAGCCTGATTCCTGCCTCCTCTCCCACTCGGTGGGGGCAGGGCGGGCCTGGAAGAGGGCCAGGGTGCTTGCTATTGCCCCACCAAACCTCATCCCCCAGCACAGAAGGGTGGACAACATCCCGAGGGGTCCTCGGAGAATGCAGGTGCCCAGACATCAGGAGTCAGTAGGTTCCTGGAAGGGGCAGAAACCCTGCGACCTCACCTATGAGTGGGGCTGCCCGGTGAGCAAAGAGCAGACTGGACAATGCCCTGCCCTCTCTGCGGATCAGTGACAAGTGTAGGCTCCCCAGATGAACCTACCAGGCTGAGTGCTATCGCCCCTCGGCCCCTCCGGGGAAACCCGGGTAACCAAGACACTGCTGGGCAGCTTTGGGGAGCAGCCGCGGCTGGAGCAAAGCAGGGCTGCCCAGCGCCGGTCCCCACGCTTCTGGGGGTGTCTCCGCGGTTCTGTGTATGCGCGGGGAGGGGAGAAGAGGGGGTGCTGGAGGGAGGAATCGGGAGTGGAGGGGGGCAGCAGAACAGAGCGCCCGGCGGCCACAGACACCCCACTTTTTTCCCCCTGGGACGCGCTCCCCCAGGAGGAGAGGACGGAGCAAGCGAGGAAGCGCCGAGACCCGCCGAACTGCCCTCCGGGTAGTTCGGAACCCGGTTGACTCTTCCGAGCTGGAAAGGCGCATCCTGGGGTTGGGAAGGGGGTGTCCGACGGATGAGGAGGGCGATACCCGGGGCCCGAGACCGCCCACCTACGAGAGGGGTGCGCGCCAGCCAGTCCCGCGCTCCAGCCTTCGGCCGCTGGCCGGGAACGTGCCCTCGGGCCGGTACCAGGTGCTCACCGCGCGCCGCTCCGGTCTCTCCCTGCTCTCCGCCGTCCTCCGCGCGATCGCGTCGGGGGCCCGCACCGCTCGCCCCAGCAGCGCTCCCTGATCAGGGTCGGCGCCGGCTCCGCGCCCGCGCCCCGCGCCAGCCACACGCGAACTTTCCGGCGGCGGCGACGCTGGGCGGCGGCGGAGGGGGAGGGAGGGGGCGGGGGCAGGAGCGGCCCGCAGGTGGAGCGGCGGCCGAGGGTCCCCGCCTGCCGCTCCGAGCCCCTGCCCGCGCCTCCGCCCTCCCGCCGCGGCCGCGGGGAGCGACTCGCCGCCCCGGAGCTCCTGCCCGACAGACCCCTCCCTGCGCGCCGGTGCTGGCACCTGCCTCGCGGACTCCTGTCCTGCGGAACTCTCCCCGAGGACGCCGCCCCGCAGACCTTCTCACTCAGAGCTCACTGGGCAGACCCCCGCCCGGGGAACCCCGGCCGACCGATTGCAGCTCCCAGCCGGGAAAGGAGCGGTGGACGGACAGGTGGGATGCGTGGTAGGCGCGCGACCAGAGACGGGGGCTGTGGACCCCTGCCCTTTCCTCTCACTTTCTCCGCGTTCTGGGCCCTCGCCGCTTTTTCCCGGGTGCTGATTGCGGGAAGGACTGACGCTCCACTTACCCTGCAGCGTGGCTCCTAGGTGGCCTTTCCAGCGCCCAAAGCAAGCTGGATTGGAGTGGGGGCCAAGGCCCTCCACGGGCCGAACCCACGCCAGGCAGGGAAGGGTGGCCCCTGGGATGCCTCTTTAAGCCTGGGTGTCCCAAGTCTTCTCCCTTAAGCCCCCCCCAGAGCTGTTCATCCAACAGCCCCCCACCCCACCCTCTACACCAAGCCGGCTGCCCAGAGTGCCTGGTCACTGCTTCTCCTGCTTCGAGAGGAGAACGCTATGCTCCTTCCCACACCTCCTCCTTCCCACGTCTCCTCCTTCCTAATGCCAGATCCCAGATTCACCCTCCTGACTATGTCCTCTCCACCCCACCCCCACCCCCCGCCCTCGGGTCTAAAGCCAGCCAGCATCTCAGCTGCTGCTTTAGGACCCTTTTCACTTTCTCACCTGCACCCCTACACACACCCCAGTGGTCAGTCCCCAGTGACCTCAGGGTCACCAAACCACATGGACACTTTGGAGCCTCATCTTTCCTGGCATTTCAGGATCTGAGGACCCTGATGGTCATACCCTCCTATGGAACATTCTCCCATGGCTATGGTTTCCAGGCTGGCATTCCCATCTCCTCTCTGCACTCTCCTCCGCTTTCCCTTGGACAGTTCCCCATGTACCACCGGGTATGCCCAGGACCACACCAGAACCCCTCTCCACTGGCCTGCTGCCATTTCCTGGATGCACTTCCTCGGCCTACCCACCAGCTGGACACCCTGCAGGGATCCTGAGATTTCCAGTCATCACCAAATCCTAATTATCCCTCTCATGTTTCCCTGGAATCCACTGTCAACCACTGTCCTGGGTGCCTTCCCTGACCCACTGGGTCAGCTCTTTTTTAGATCTTTGGGGCCCTTCTCTAAATTCTACTTCTGTTCGGGGGCGGGAGGACTTTGGAACACGTGGTTCTCCTCCACCCATGGCTCCCCCACCCTCCAGCCCCCAGAGCAGAGCTGCAGCTGGTCCCAGCACCCTGTGACATGCGCACAGGTAGTCGGTGCTTGGTAACCTGACCTCTATACACCTGCCCTGCCACTGTCTGAAGGCTCAGGATGGGGGAGTATTACTGAGGGTGCCCTCCAGACCCCCATTCTTACCAGCCCACCTGGAAGCCTGCCCTCAGAGCAGCCTGTTTTGGTTCAGGCAGTGGCCAGAAGGCAAAGGTCAGAGGCAAAGTCTAGCTCTGCTTGTATAGGGCTGACTGCGAGTGCTGGGTGCAGGTGCTGGGGGAGGGGAGCTTTCTGAGATGGGTCCCCAAAGACCGCCATCCTCCACGCTCTTCTCCCCTCCCCTGGTGCCTCTTTTCCAGCTCTCCTCCCACCTCTCTGGCAGTGGGGCACCCATACAGACCACACTGATCTGAGTAGGTGGAATCTTGCTTGTGACCTTGGTGGTCTCCTGCCTCACCGTGAGCTGGGTAACTGGCACCACTCTGGGTGTCTGTGAGGCTCAGGGCAGAAACTAGAGGTTCTCCCTAGAGGTGGGATTAACCTGAGGACCTGGGAAGGTCATCCCTGCTGTGTGATCTTCAGAGAGGCCCTCTGGACCTTATTTTCCTGAAGATGTTTTGGTTGGGTGGAGGCCCGGCAGTCTGGGGGTAGGTTCTGGGTGGCCCCAGTTGGGTTCTAGCAGGAAGAGATGAGAAAGAATAAATGTATAGTGTATGATATGGGGGTGGGGGCATACCTGAAATGTGTGGACACAGTGGGGAGCAGAAGGCAGAGGGAGAGGGAACAGATGGGGGTGAGGGCCCCCCCTCCCCGGGCTGGGCCACCTTTATTTACATAACTGAATTCATAAGACAAAAATAGACCAGAAACTGGGAACAAAGGGGGCTGGGCCTTCCCACGGAGTGTTGGAGGTCTGGAGACTGAGGAAGGGGCCTGTCTACCACTGAGTCCCTGAGGGTCCTGTTGGCGCCTTGGAGATGTGCTGGTTCCCATGTGCCAGGGCAGCGGGGGGCTGGGGGCTGCCCTCTGCAGCCTCAGAAGTGCTGTTCCGTCTGCCTGTGCTGTGGGCTCTGGAGGGCACATCAGCAGAGCTCAGTTTAGGCATTTGGCTGAGTGGTATCTGCTGGTACTGCCAACAAAGCCAGCAGGGAGAATCTGACACCCCAGCCTCAAGTTCTGGGGGGAAGATGATGATAAGTGGCCAAGAAAGAGGTGGCCTTACAAGGTGTTTCGTGGCCAGATGAGGTGGTTTGTGGCCAAATGGGGTGGTTCATGTCCAGACAGGGTGGTTCGTGGTCAGACTGGGTGGTTCTCAGTAGAAACCCAGGACAGAGGGACCCTGGATTTTGGAGCTGCAGAAAATGGGGCAGAGAGAAAAGAGATGGTGCCCCCAGAGAGACAGCTGTTAATGTCATAGGGTGGTTCCTTTCAGATCTCTTTACTGTGCCTTAATACATTGCTTTTGATAGTTTTATGTCTAGGTATTCCATCACAGTTGGTAACACAAGCATTTCCCCATCTTCATAAGAAGTCCTCTCAACACCATGGTACATGGGCACTTAGTATTCCATTGTGTGGGTCTGTCAGACTTTACTCAACCATTCACAGGATATAGGGAACAGTCCAAAGCTGTTTCAGGTATGCCCCACCCCACCCCAGGGAATGAGCCCCAAACTGCATCCTGGTGCCTCACTCAGACGTGCTTGAGAGACCGAGAACCAACAGAAGAGAGGACACTGGAGGAAACAAGAGCTAATGCAGGGACCAGAAGAAAACTTCAGATGATCTTCCTCAGATAGGGAAAGACAAGGCACCCATGCGACTAGGAGAGGGCACTTCAGAAAACAGGAGGAAAACAAAAAAGAGTCCTTGTAAGGTACAAAATAATACAAGAAAACTTAAAAATTTGGTAGAAGGATTGAAAGAAGGAGTTGAAGAAATCTCACAGAAGAAAGAACAAAAATCAGAGAGACAGAAGCTAAGGGATGGTGGAGGATCCATATGAGAGGTCAGAGGGACAGAGTTTCCAAAGACCAGCAGAGGAGGAAGACCATTGTGAAAAGTAATGCAAAGTTCTTCCTAGAGCTTCCCTAGTGGGAAAGTCTGCCAAGTCCCCGGCACAATAAAAACAGCAAACCAGCTAATGGATTAAAAATTCAACCATGTTGCATCCTCACGAAGTTTCAAACTCATCAGAATAAAGAGAAGATATGGAAAGTTTCTAGAGTGTGAACAGAGGTCTCCTGGAGATGGGCGCTGCTCAGCATGGCATCAGACCTGTTGCCGGCAGTTGAGGGAGCCACATTCCCAGTGACAGGATTTCTCACCTTACATCCTCTTACCAGGGCCACCATCTTCCAAGTTATGCCACTGGTTGTGAGGGCAGAATAAGGACATTTCCAGACACCAGAGGACTCTTAACTTCCCATGCAGTTCTTCTTAAGAAGCTCCAAGCTTGAGCCACCCAGCATGGAGTGGGGTGCCATCCAGTCAAGAAGACACTGGATTTTGAAAGCTTAGTATAAAAATAGAACAGAAAGTGTCATGAATCGTGTGTGCTGGCACATGTTGAAGGAATCCTCTTCCTGACAAATTGGGTCAAATAAAAGGTATTGTTGTTCAGTCACTAAATTGTGTCCAATTCTTCTGTGACCCCATGGACTGTAGCCTGCCAGGCTCCTCTGTCTATGGGTTTTCCCAGGCAAGAGTACTGGAGTGAGTTACCATTTCCTACTCCAAAGGATCTTCCCAACCCAGAGACTGAACCCATGTCTCCTGCATTGGCAGGCAGTTTCTTTACCACTGGGCCACCAGGGAAGCCTTCATTTCACCAGTTCCTTTTCCTTTATAAATGTGGTTACAGAATGTTTGAAATGACACGTTGGTTCACCCGTTGTGATGCAAAATATTTCTGTTGGCTGGCACTGTCTAGAAACACCAAGAAATTCTATCAAGAAGGAAATGTAATCATAGCCCCAGGTCACCCACAGACCATTCCACCAGCAAAATTTCCACAATTAGGGTATGAATGCAGAAGGTCATGATGCCTCTGGATTGAGGCGGGGAAAGGGGTGATGAGGGCCCTGGTGGGGGTCCTGGGAAGTTGGGATAATGCTATACAAAGCAAATCAAGACTGATCCAAACTATCGATTGAGCACCTACTTTGTCCTGGATGCTGGGAGACCAAGGGAAACTGACATCTCAGGAGAGGGAGGCGAACAATACACAACCCAGCAGATCTGCGTGTTCCTGCTGTGACGTCAGGTTC